ATTTGACTTTTAAAAAAATTATTAATGAAAAAAACAAAATAAAACGATAAAACTCATCCCTCTTCACAATTCCACTGGACAATCGCAATTGTTAATAAACAAATGGATGATAAAATAATTTTTCACGCTTGGCTATGGAAATGACAACGAAATGTGCGACAAAAAGTGAATTATCGAAAATAATCGTTAATCAATAAATAGCAGCAATAGATAAAACGTGAATGTCTTAAAATGAAAAATTTCTAATTAAAAAATACTTATTAATGACAATCCATTGATTTAACAATTTGATACACGATATAACGGTTTTTCCATTCAAGCCAAGTGAGAAAAAACACAATTCTACTTTTAAAAATTCATGGTGTGCGAGAAATAAAATTAGACGAGTCCTTGAATGGAAAAACATTTATTTCTATAATTCATTTGCCTAATGAACTGTATAATCAATAAATCGATAAAATAAAAGTGAAAAAAATCCTTCCTAATAAAGTATTACATTGATCAAATGGCATAAGAGCGTCCCTAAAAATAAGAGGGACATTTCATCGATAAATTCAATCGTGAGAAAATTAATAAATTCAGGAAAACAGGTGAAATGAAGAGATTTATCGTGATTTCAATAAAATCGTCGCGTAAGGCACTTCATGACTATTTATCACCGCTAAAATCATTAATAAATTCCAAATTTATCCGATTGATCGAAAATTTTGGAAATATTCATTAAAAAACAGAATATAATAATCATTTCACCAGAATCCTAAACCGACGCACACTAGTCCTTAAATTACGAGTAAAATCGTGTAAATACGTATCAAAAGTGTGAACACAGGGATTTCAAATAATCATAACTACCAAATTGGCGTTAACTAATAACTAAAATAATGAGATTATCAGAATTTTCGCAGTCTCAAGTTTTAAAATAAAGAACTGATGACTGTATAAATCAGTCTCGTCGTCACAATATCGTTTTAAAAAATGATTTCAAAATGATCACTTACTAGTCAGTCGTGTGAGAATTTAGTCAGATGTACGTCATTGTTTCAATTACCTTTAACTACTGCACTATTATCTATTGAACGTATTAATGGTATAATTTGGTATAAGTCGCGTACTGCATTAATAAAAACACAAGTGTATTGATTGGTAATAATAAAAAAAAAATGGTATGACAACCGGACAAGGAGTACCTCATTTATAATTTTCCTCATTAAAAAATTACTTGTTCATTGAATCAATGAATTTCACCGATAAATGTGTTTTGGCCAAGTGTTTCCACCAAAAATCGATTATCCCACCCCTGAAAATGAGTTTCACGTGGATGTAATGGTGAAATTTAACCGTAGATTCACGAGAATTTAATTGGATCCCCCAGAGGACTCCTACCCTCAATCTCTGAGTGCCGAGGGTTGCGAGGAGGATATCCCCACGATTAAAACTGAAGAATAAGAAAATAAATGAGAAATAAGTAACGGTGGTAGATATTCTCAGATACAAATGCAGACAAAAAGATCGAGAAGAATTCCCTTGATAATATCAAGATTGCCCTGAGGCTTGATATCTCTGTAACACTCCACTCGGTTTCTCTCCTCCTCCCTCCGATTAATCCAATCAGCCCTGACCGTCTCACCCTTTCCCTCCCCAGGAGTCCATCCCTCATTCTGGCGTACATTATGAAGATAAAGTCTGCCAAATTGACTGATTGAGTATCCAATCTCCAAGCTGTCCTTATTGGCACTGGTACCCAATGAATAATCATCCCCATTGGACCTCTCAACCCTCTCCACCACTGAATTACCAAGGAGATCTTTCAGAAGGACCTCGTCCTCCTCCTCACTCATCACCTTTTGCCTGCGTTTGTCAAAAAAATCTCCCCTGGGTACATCAAAAAAATGCATCTGCTTGTCCTGATTTTTCTTCAAAAAATACTCATCGGATTTATCGTGGAGATGCTCCTGGCCCTTTGGGGGACTCCCCCTGTCGTCGTTCTTCCTCCCTCGGGGTAAAAAATGAAGGGAACGGCCAATCCGATGGAATATGTTGGTCCTCTTTCGTTTTGTCGTTGAGTCAACTGTTCTGTATGATTTATTACGTGTGAAGTATCCTGGGGGTGACTTGTGGAGATCATCGAGACTCTTGGCGTCCTTGCAAGGCCAGTCATCGGTGCTGTCTAGGGACTCCAGGCTCTTGCAGCCTTTGGATTTCGATTGAATTGGAGTTTTCTTAAATATCTCACCCTCGAGCTCCGTAAACTCAACGTTATCGTGTTTTTTAATCTCCTCGGGCTCTTCAGGATCGCAGAAACTAGTGAGAGTTGTGTCAATGATACCGATATTATCGATATCATTGATATTATCAACCTCATCTCGATAATTATTTGTCATTCCCACCGTTACTTTAGCATTTACGTTGGAATTTAAATTTTTCTCAGTTTTATGCCCATGAAAAAAATAACTCTGCTTATCAATACGACGTGTTTCCGCGTTATCATTGGGTAAACGTTTGATAAATGATTGGTAATAATTGTGTGAACGCTGGGAGTTGTAATTGATATGTTCCCTGTGTTTGTCAATCTGTCCAATACAAATACCGGATATATCGAGATTATCGGGGGTTGATTGTGCTTGAGCTGTTTGGGTGAGCTTGAATGTGTTGAATTTGTATTGTCGACCTGGTGTTAGTGATTGTCCCAGTGGTAAACCACCACCATCACCACTAGGACCACTTGCTGGATGTTTGGATGACGTGGGCTTAGGGCCTGCTGTCAGCTCCTGGTGGCTAGAGGACAACTTTTGGTAGAATTGTATTTTACCTTGGAGATCATTCTTATCTGGGGTATCCTCCTGATCAGTCTCGTGCTTCTGACGACGTCCCGATGTACTCACTGTTGCACCAGCTGTACCTGAGGCGTTTGCGAGGCACTGACGGGTGTACATTCTGAAAATATTCGCGTTGATTCGCGTTATAATGAAATTTATATTTTTTCATTGGAGATTAGGGGATGATTGGATTGGATGGTGATTGGGTGATGATTAAATGGTGATTGGCTGATGATTATTTGGGGTACTGACCTTGATGGATGCTCTTGCTCGTTATTCGTTCCAGATGACAGGGGTATATTAGCTGGTTGGGGGTGAGTTGGTGCTTGTTGGGCTGCTGGCAATGCCTGCTGTCTTGCATTACCGAATTTGAGCAGATTCCAGTCGAATACGTAGTCGTAAGTGAAAGTCTCGTGATGGAAAAGAGTGCGAAATAGTTGTCGCAAATATGAGTAATCTGGCCTCTCCTCAAAACGTATTTGTCGACAGTATCTTAGGTACTTCATGAATTCAACTGTGAAACAAAGATAAAATTAATTAGTCTCATTGAAAAAAACAAAATAATTCGTTACTTTATACGTTTTTAAATAATAAATGTGTACGTAAATGTGGAATTGGCAATCCCACGTTAATAGTTTGTTGGAGGTATCCGTGAATTTGTTTTTGTTGTGATTTTAAATCGTGGGAGGTGGTATTCATTGAATTGTTCGTCGTTTGAGTGGGTAGAGAAAAAATACAGTACTAGGATATCCTTTGCAGAGTTCGTCGATAGGCGTTGACATTTTCTTCTCCGATATCCGCTCGTACTTTTGCCTTTTAGTCGCAGCTTTCAATCCTTGCCATGGTAAACTTCCAATGTTGAAGTACATAAAGACATAACCTAATGACTCGAGATCGTCTCTCCGGGATTGTTCAATTCCCATGTGTGTATTTATACTAGCGTATCTGAAATTTTTTAAATTCATTTTTTCATCACTCCACAATAAATATTGAATTATAAAAATTAATTATTTATATTTCAAGAGAAATATATAAACGATAAATTTAAATTTCAGGAGCTGTTAATTGTTTTTTGCGTTAGAGATGAATAATTTGAGATGATATTGAGAGATATTTGGAAACGATGAAATAGTTTTTAAAAAATAAATCCCTTTCGGTAATTAATTATGAGGGTTTAATGATTATTTACCTGGCAGTTCCTGTAAGATTTTTATTCTCTCGATACGGTATATGTCTGTGTGTACGACCATCTCGATATTTCTTCGCCAATCCAAAATCTATAATATACACGAGATTACCCTTTTTACCTAGTCCCATCAAAAAATTGTCAGGCTTAATGTCACGGTGGATGAAGTGGCGACTATGAATGAAGTCTGTTCTGCTGATCTGTAAATAATGATAAACATTAATTTGATTACCTTATTATAGCAGATAAATAAATAATACAAGTTGCAAATTGAATAAAGAAATAATAATATAGAGTAAATCATTTTGGGCAAGGGAATTATGAATTTCTTGAGGAACTTGACGTACCATTTGATCAGCAAGTAGAAGAACTGTCTTTAACGTAAATCTACGAGAACAAAAATTGAATAAGTCTTCCAGCGATGGTCCAAGCAGCTCCATGACCATTACGTTATAATCACCTTCCGATCCACACCATTTTATTGTCGGTATGCCAACTAAAAGTAATAATTCCCCATAATCTCGACAGTTAAACCATAAAAAAATTCTCCCACCACATTTTCATAAATATCTCCAGAAATACCAGAGCTAGAAAAATTTTCGTAATGACCTTTTTTGTAGCTCTCGCCGACCCCTACAAAAAAGGTATCCACGAAAATTTCTGTATCTCCCTAGATACCCCAGATATTTGGAAAAAAACCCGGAGACCTGAGTGAACTGAGATCATTTATCACGAGAAAATAATTCCACCATGGGACACCCCCAAAAAATCATCCTCACGAATATAAAAAATGAACATACCACCACCCTGCATCATCTTGTAGAACCTCGACTCTATGTGTAACTGTGGATGACGTGTTTTTATGCATTCCAACTTGATGGCGACTTCTTCGCCCGTGGAGATGTTGGTGCCTGATATAATAACAAAGAAAAAGATTCATGACTCGTTGTATCTTATATAGTACATGAGGTTGGGCTGAAGAGGGAGAGTGCGATGGATGAGGGGATGAAGAGAGGGAGAGGGAGATGGCAACAACGGAGCAATGGATGACCACGGGGCTACGAAATCACTCCAAAACAATAGATCCACCTGAGAAAGTACCAAATGGCCTTGATACCTCTCACTCTTTTTTTTCTATGAGCTATTACCACTGATTCCCATCAACAACTACCAACTGAAATCTAAATAAATCCATATAAATATCGAATTAATCCAGACAATAATGAACAACTGATTGATGAGATGAGGAAATGGGAGAAAAGGGAAAAGAGGGATTGAAGAAGTGAAAAGACATGGAAAGATGGGGAAAGATGGGGAAAGATGTGGACGGTTGGGGACTGTTGGGGAATGATGGGGAATGATGGAGGAATGATGGAGAATGATGTAAAAAAAATAATCGCCTGGTGCCAAGGCAAGAGGGACAGTAAAATGATGATAAAAATTAGTTAACAATACCTAAATAAATATCTCCAAAGGAACCACTCCCAATTTTCCGTCCGAGTCGGTATCTACTGCCGACGCGGAGTTCCATTCTGTTGCAGCCGTTGGCCGCGTGCTGGCCCGACAACGTGTGTATATCTCGGGTATTTCACTGCTTTTTTTTTTCCCCTCTCGTTGTAAAATAAAAAAAAGGCCCCCCCCTTTCGTTGTGCCCTAGCCTCAGCGTATCAGTTATACCCGTTTTGTCCTCTCCCTCTGGTAAATTCTGTAGTTCACTTCACCCTCGTTTGACCCACGGTAATCAGATAATCACAGGTATAAAATAATAAAGGGGTAATGGAAGTAACAAAAAGGGGGAATTTGTGTGTCAAAGAATTGCCTCAGAGACTCTGCGAATTTGCCATCTCCATGTTTGATCGCATTTCCGCTCGTTAACTCTCACACAGCCATCACTACACTTGTTTCTCCCTCTTTCTCTAGTCTTTCTTTTTTTTTTTTCTTTTAGTTCTTCTTCTCTCTTTTGGGGGATCTCTTTTATTCTTCTTGATGGTGTACCCCAACTGTTTCGGTTTAGGGGACTTTGGCAACCGCCAGCTCTCAACCAACACCAATGACTTTTTTTTTACCTACCTAACCAGCACTTTACCAGAGGTTTTACTATTTTTCGGGTGGGAATATTGCGTGGGTGTTTGACTTTTTGTTACTGAGGGTTTACCGAGTTGAGGATGAGGCGCTGATGGTGCCACTGGCATTTATAGATAACTACTTTGCTGTCTAGGTTGGGAAATGTCTATGGGATTTGGAATTTTCGGGTGGGGGAAAATGCGCGGGTATTTTTGATTGGCGACTGAATTTTTTTTCCCTCATTTATCTACTTTTGGCACTAC